CTACCTAGCTGGGATCATTTGAGCCCAGTTTTTTCTCCTGCCCTGGCAGGAGGTCGGACTTGAAGATCTATAAGGTCCCTTCCGACCCGACTTCTATGATTCTATGAATTTTGAAAATCACTGCATCTGTTCATAGCAGTCCCAGGACTAGGGAAGCACTGCCGCTTGCTTCACCACAGCAATGTGCTGTTCTTACCCCCCCTGCCACCGCGTGTCAAATCTGACCAGGTTTTTTTTTTGGCCCTCCAAACATTCCGAGATGGGCAGGCTCCTCACTCATGGATCCATTGACCCCCCTCCACAGAATGACTGACCCTCCCCCAATCCCACTAGCCCCTCCCCACATTCTGAGTTACTTACCTTGGGCTCCCTATGAAACTCCTGGCAGTGGCAAACACCTGCCTGTGATACAGGTTGATGTTGGTTTAAACCTAAACCAGGGGCCCTGAATACTTCTATGTACCCTCAAGTGGCACCAGGTACTGACCCAGCATCAACCTGTATCACAACAGAGCATAAACACAAGTGTAATATCTGAGTGATCAAATTTGACTAACCATAAGCATAAGAAGCAGCATAGGCACCCAGGTAACAGTCTTCAGGCCAAAATGGATGCATCAATACATATAAGCCAGTCCATAGGTGATCACAGAAGTGGAGTTTAAAATCATATTTAGGTACCTACAGGACTAGTTTGGATCTAGCCCTCAGTTACACTTTAAACAGAGGTTTCCAAGCCTAAATTTCAAGGTGGGTGAGTGGGGTTGATTCATCTTTGATACATCTTTAACACCTTGATACTCTGGGTTTTTCAGATCTGAAATTTTGATTCTTTTCTGTAAATCCATTAGCTAAAGCCTTACAAAAACATCAAGGCAAACTTAGGATGATAAATTCTAGTTGGTAGAAACACTTAAGTCTCTTCTACTGACCTCATTTGTTTGCCTTTCCACTAGAAGTAAGTATGTTAAAATCTTCTTGTAGAGAAAAAATACCAGGCAATGTCTCCACTGGATTTGCCAATAAAATAAGATGATGAAGCTGATGATTTCTTTCCACTCTAAGGGAAATGTCAGGACTAAACTATGGTCATGCACTAGAACTACTTAAACTTGGTTGCCTTATTTAACTCAGAGTTTAAAAGACAAGAGTGCCAAAACTCACAGTAAAATACATGGGCCTAAGTCAACCACAACACAAAGGTTTCTTATTTT